TTACCATGTTTCTGGGAGCCTCTGTTCTCAGTTAGATGAGAATTTTATGCTGCAATAAAGACCCACAAAGGATTTATGGAGTTACTGGCATGCCACCGTCTACAGAGACATGGAACCACCATCCATCCATCCGTCTGACCGTCCATCCATCCATCCATCCATCCATCCATCCATCCATCCATCCATCCATCCACTAAATGTGATTTCCAGGTTTTCTCTTGTGGGGGTTGCCATGTTTCTGGGTGCCTCTGGGTAGGAGAAAAATCAAAACAGCTCACCAGAGACAGCTGCATCAGCCCATCTTATCCCTCCCAGTTGTCAAGAAATCAATTTTTTTCTTTAATCGAGGGCTTCCGTTTCTTTCTGTGTGTTTCACTAACAAGTCTACAGCCCATGAGAGGAAAATGATATGTATCTAAATGCTTCTCTTCCCAGCCTGATGAAACATCCTAAAAGTTTTGAAAACTTTCCTGTTTATGGCATTTTAGGGACCTACTGAATCTATTGACACAGACACATCTCAGTTTAGGGACCCCAGAAAAGTCTTCCTCTGGTTGGGGAAAAGGCCACGTATCTACGGGACCAATTCACCCTTCAGAAGATTTGTTAAGGATTAGAGAGGCAGATATTCGTACTTTATTTGTAAATCAATATGGGCAGGGGGGCGGGGGGACGAGTCTCCCCAGATGGCTGTGGAGTGGCCAGCCGAGCTGGGCGAAAGCGACGCTACATCCCCGGCTGGCACTAGTGGCACCAGGAGGCAGTCAAGGCGGCCGAGTCCCTCTCTTTTTTTCTAAAATGAACCCAATTTGCATTTTATCTTGGTTACCAAATGTCATCTTGGTGAAAGATCACTCATTGGCCTGACGTTATCATCTTGAACTCATAATGTGTTGAGAGTTCTGGGAACTTGCTTCTTGTTGTTTAGTCATCAAGTCGTGTCCGACACATCGTGACCCCATGGACCAGAGCATGCCAGGCCCCCCTGTCTTCCACTGCCTCCCAGAGTTGGGTCAAATTCATGTTGGTCGCTTCGATGACCCTGTCCAGCTATCTCATCCTCTGTCGTCCCCTTCTCCTCTTGCCTTCACTCTTTCCCAACA